TGTATAGCGTTGAAAGGACCGGTGCACCATGGACTGCATGAAAGCATGCAACTCCTGGGAAAGAAAGCAAAAGAACTCCTGACATATCCCTAATGTGAATGTTTCTCACTGAAGTTGAAAGCAAGCTGCTAGTCCATACCTGTCGTACCGGGCCTTTGACTCGTCGGGATCCCGGTCTGGGAAGACGCCCTCTCGGCAACTCTCCAGTTCGTCCCAGCTCCACACGTCCATATAGCGCATCCGATACCCCCACGACTTCCAGGGCTCCTACCAACAACAAGAACGGCATACAAATTTCTGAGACAGACCATCAAACAAATCTTCAGACCATCAAGCCTTTATGAGTCCAGACCATGAAACGTACAAATCTTGAGAGGTCGCTGTTAGGTATCCCAAGACGTGCAAGTCGACACCTCAGCATGGTCAACTCTGAACAAGATTCCAGCATGCCTCACCTGGTAGATTCTTGGGTCTGGGGACGTAACCAGGACCATTTGTGCCCTGGTAGGCAGGTCGCCAACATCCATGGGGTTGAGACCGTCTACCAGATACCTGCAATCAGTAAGAGCTCCCTTGGATCAGATTCTGTCCCAGTTGTTTAACCCCAGAGACAACATCCTACAGGGACTCACATACAGCAATTGCGGAGCAACAATTATGCACCTATCATGCTTCAGCGCGTCACCAAGACGTTCAGAATGACCCATACCTCACTTCAGGCCGGCGCAGCTGGTCTGCAAGGGACTTCGCATCCAGCTCAAAGCATCCATTTCTCGTAAGCAGCGTCGGCTTTGTACGGTATCCCCGCTTGACAATCACAACAGGCCGTGGCGGGTCTTCAGTTGCCCACCGGTACAGAAGCAGGTATCCAAACATGGACTTGCCTATCCCTGCAAGGAAAAATACTCAGCTACTCATTGTGCAGTCTGGATGCTTCGTCAGAACCTCCAAAAGAAGCGAGATATAAGAGCTCACAGAACATAGCCCAAACCCCTTCTCAGAGACAAGATACTTGTCCTCTTCTCACCTGGGTTGCCGATAATCGCCACCGCCCCGTTCTTTTTCCTCCCCTTGCTATCTTCTTGCGCAAACAGCTCAGACACGTCCTTCTGTAAAGCTGGATAGCAGTCTCGAAGGTACAACTGGTTGCCGAGCCTTGCATGCCCCAGGAAGTTGGTCCCCATAGCAAGCGTCATGACCTTTCCGTCATCGGACCAAGCAGCATTCGGCAGAGCCATCCAGAAGTCCGACAAATCCTGCGGAGCTGGCGAAACTGCACAGAGAAAAATAAGAATTCCGTACAGTCACCAAGCAAGATTGTCCTCTGCATAAAGCATGCGTATAAGCAATCGAAGGGTCTACAGACTTGCACAGTAAGGTGATCTCAAGCGGCTTTACCAAGACCCGCAGATGCCTCTTGGCAAGGATTGCACGAACAGGCTGACCCTCCTGGTTTGAGTCGCAGTCCAGCTCAACTTCTGAGGCAGCTGAATGACAGCCAACCTATATGCAAATAGACGCTCTAGCCCAGCAGAAAATTGGAAAGATTTGAACGGTACTCACTAACTCCAGAGGTACTTGCCCCAGCAGTTGCTGCACGAGATCAATAGCGTTTGTTAAGCCACATAAAAGAGGCTTCCACAAATGACAATCCAAGCGTTCGCTTTCATCCAAACGCAGCGGCCATGTTAACAATAAGTCCCTGCCCCATCCTTGTAATCTACGCTGTTGCACTACTACTCTGCACAGCTTCGTCGGGCTAGTCAGCATTTGAGTGTGCGCCTGACCAATCCGCAGAAAGACGCTGGCAAACATTGATCTCGCAAAAAGAATTTTGCTTGACAGCGCCAAACAAGACCACCCTGATAAGACCTTCAGTGGGCAGACTGGTGCCAAAAATCGAGATTGCAAAAAGTTGAGCAGTATCATATCCCAAGCAGAGGCTGCCTTGGATGCTGCGACCAGGCAACTGTCACAGCAGACCACCCAGCTCGGAAATATGCGAACGCGTTCTGGCCAGACAGGTGAAACAACCCG